CAGATGTGGGGGCAGTTATAGTCTGTATTATAAAGATGAATTTGTATTCCTTATTATAGAAAGAAATCCATACATACATGTATTAATAGTTTATCTCCTAACACTGCTAATAGTTTGTCTAAGTTAACCCCCCTCCCAGCCCAGGTGCCCCTGCAGTACAAGGTTGATATCAGCAGACACTAACTAGACTCAGTAATTCAAGAAATGTCTGAGCAGGGCTGGAGAGATGGCTCAGCTGTTGGGAGCACTGACTGGATGACTGACAGCCTTTGTTTTCATCCTCCTCTTCCCTAGTTCTTATGAAACCTACTGGCTGGGGACGACAGGGAAGGAAGTTTTTTTGGTTCTTTGTTATTTTTAAGATGTTAATCTGCTGTCTCCTCAGATTTTAGGCTCTCTGAATAAAGCTGCAATTTAAAGATTCAATTCTTGAGGTTGGAGAGATGACTCAGTGTTTTTTAACGGTATGTACTGCTCTTACAGAGGACCAAAGTTCGGCTCCCACCACCCATGTCAGGTGGTTCAACACTGCCTATAACTCCAGGGGCTCCAATGCCCACTTCTGGCTTCCATAGGCACCTGTGCTGTTGAGCATGTACCCACACACAGCACACACATACACATCATTTAAAAATAATAAATAAAAAAATTGTGGGGCGTGGTGGCTCACGCCTTTAATTCTAGCACTCAGGAGGCAGAGGCAGGTGGATCTCTGTGAGTTCAAGTCCAGCCTGGTCTCCATAGTGAGTTCTAGGACAGCTGGGGCTACAGGAAGACCCTGTCTCAAAAAAAAGAACAAAAAATAAAAATAAAATAATAAATAAAAGTAAAATTTTGAAAATTAAAAATATATAAACAGTTGGGCATGGTGGCACACACTTTTAATCCCAGCATTTGGGAGGCAGAGGCCAGCAGATCTCTGTGAGTTCCAGGCCAGCTGGGGCTACAGGGAGACCCTGTCTCAAAAAGACCAATAAATAAATAAGTAAATAAACAAACAAACAAATCTTTGTTGTTGTTTGAGACAGGGTTTCACTATGTAGCCCTGGAACTTGCTATATTGACCAGGCTAAAGGTGTGCGCCACCATGCCTGACTCTAAAATAAATTCTTTTAAAAGTTCTGTTCTCGGGCATGGTGGCTCATGCCTTTAATCCCAGCACTCGGGAGGCAGAGGCAGGTGGATCTCTGTGAGTTCCAGGACAGCCTGGTCTCCATAGCGAATCCAGGCCAGCTAGGGCTACAGGGAGACTGTCTCAAAAAGACCAAAAAAAAAAAAAAAAAGTTCTGTTCTCGCCTCTGGTGGTTGGCCTGTGTGGCTTCCGGCAGCCCCACTCAGGTTCCGTGGTTTCACTTCGTCTTTAAAAATATTTTATTATTTTTATTTTATGTGTATGTGTGTATTGCCTGCATGTGTGTAAGTGCACCCCTGTCATTCAATGCCGGTGGCTGGTGGATCCCTTGGAACTGGAGTTACAGACAGTTGTTAACTGCCATGTGGGTGCTGGGATTTGAACTCAGGTCTTCTGCAAGTACAGCCAGTGTTCTTAACCACTGAGCCATCTCTCCAGCCCCTGTGGTTTCACTTCTTTGCAGTGAAGTGTGGGCCCGGTCTACCTTTCCGAAGGAGCAGCCCTCTGTTCTGTCTTCTCTACCTGCCACCCCCAGCCCAGTTCAGCCTGGGCTTCAGTCAGGATGATGATGGGGTCCCTCAACCCCTCACCCAGCCTCCCTGCTTCTGTTCTGGAATCAAGTGGTAGTGGCTAGAGGAATCTTGTTAAATTTTCAACCCTAAACAAGGTCAGGTCTCCACTCCCGCCTGAATCCCTGCATTCTCCAAGGCCCCTGTATCACTTGGTGTTAAAGTTAATGTCCTTCCAGTGTCCAGGCTGCAAGATCCTCCAGAATTCAGGGCTGGAGAGATGGCTCTGGGGTTAAGAGCACTGGTTGCTCTTGAAGAGGACCTGGGTTTGGTTCCCAGCACCCACAAGGCAGCTAACAACTGTCCCTAACTTCAGTTCCAGGGGAACTATTTTAGCCTCTGTGGGCATCACACACAAGTGGCACAGTTATACACATGCAGGCAAAAACGATCATACATCTAATAAATAAATAAGTAGGCCGGGCGTGGTGGTGGTACACGCCTTTAGTCCTAGTACTTGGGAGGCAGAGGCAGGCAGATCTCTGTGAGTTCAAGGCCAGCTTGGTCTACATAGTAAGTTCCAGGCCAGCTGGGGCTACAGGGAGACCCTGTCTCAAAAAAAGACCCCCCCCAAATAATAATAATTTTTTAAAAAGGAAAAGAGTGGGGATAGAGAGATGGCTCTGGGGCTAAGAGCCCTTGCTGCTCTTGCAGAGGAACCTAGTTTGGTTCCCAGTACCCACATGGTGGCTCAGACACCCTTTTTTGTCTCCCCAAGCATGAGGCATACACATGGTATACGTATATACATACAAGGCAAAATACTTATACACACAAATAAAAAAACCTTTTTTTTTGTCTTTTTGAAACAGAGTCTCCCTGTAGCCCCAGCTGGCCTTGAACTTACAGAGATCCGCCTGCCTCTGCCTCCCAAGTGCTGGGACTTACAGGTATGTGCCACCACACTCAGCCAAATAAAAATGTTTTAAAAAGAAAAGAGAGCCTGGCATGGTGGCACATGCCTTTAATCCCAGCACTCGGGGGAGACAGAGGCAGGTTCATCTCTATGAGTTTGAGGCTAGCCTGGTCTACATAGTGAGTTCCAGGCCAGGATCACATAGTGAGACCTTGTCTTTAAAAAAAAAAAGCACGGCAGGCTGGAGAGAAGAGCACAGGTTGTTCTTGTGAAAGATCCAGGTTGAAATCACATAAAATTATAAATAAATATTTTTTAAAAGAACGGGCATGGTGGCACACACCTTTAATCCCAGCACTCGGGAGACAGAGGCAGGCAAGATTGAGGCCAGCCTAGTCTACACAGTGAGTTTCAGGTCAGCAGGGACTACAGGGAGACCTTGTCTTAAAAAGATCAAAAGGAAAAAGCAAAATAAAATAAAGGGTCACTTTTGTGTGGTCTGTGGCAGGAAGCTCTAGGGCATCAAATTCTAAAGTGAGTCCACTGTAAAGTTGAACATCCCACGACAGACAGAGGGCCCAGTTTCTGTAGGCATGCAGAGACCTGCATTCTCTAATAGTGTGTGTGTGTGTCTGTGTGTGTGCCCGTGTGCCCACGTGTGCCCGGGTATGATATAGAGGTCATTCTAGCATGAGACTGATGAGCTTCAGGCATCTGTTCCAAGCCATGACTGGACACCCACTGGCCAGAAGGAGGTGGGAGGGGCTGGGCTTTGCTGAGGACGAATGTGCTCAGCATTCGTTCATGTCCTGATGCTGGGACAGAGAGAGGAGGAAAAGGGCAGGTGTCCCAGCCTGGGGGACCTGATTATTCAAGGCCCAAGAAGAGCTCTCCCCCTCCCCAACCCTGAAATAAAAGGCTCACCTGTCTTTGGACAGTTGAGGGTGGGGGCAGTTTCTAAACCTGGTGGTGTCCCCAGGAGCAAGTTAAGTGTTTAAAGGAAGCTCAGATAGGTGGAAGGCCTGTGTTAAAGGCCCACCACCTCATAGTGCTGTTTACCAGGACCACTCAGCCTAGAGTGAAGACTGACTGTCACTCATCAGTGAAGCGTGACGCTACTACTTGGTGTCCAGGAGGCCAAGTCTCTATCATGGAGCTAAGAAATGACTAGTTTTGCGGATGGCAGAGCTCATACTTCTAAGCCAGATAGATTTTTTTTTTGTCTTTTTGAGACAGGGTCTCTGTAGCCCCAGACCAGGTTGGCCTTGAGTAAACCCTATAATCTCAAGGCTCTCTAAGGACTCTGGGGACCATTCTATTTATTTATTTATTTATTTATTTATTTACTTACTTACTTATAGACAAGGTCTCACTACATAGCCATGGCTAGCCTGCATTCACTATGTAGACCAGACTGGCTCAAACTTGTGATCCTTCTGCCCTGCCTCTGCCTCTTCAGTGCTGGAGTCATACATCATGGTGCCTAGACCTAAAGGTTAGGGAGTTTAGATTTTCAAATTAAGAATACTCAACCCATAGCCAGGTGTGGTGGCCCACACCTTTAATCCCAGCACTTGGGAGGCAGAGGCAGGCAGATCTTTATGAGTTCAAGGCCAGCCTGGTCTACATAGTGAGTTCCAGGCCAGCTAGGGCTACAGGGAGACCCTGTCTCAAAAAGACAAAAAAAAAAAAAATACTCAACCCATCTGAGCACTCATCCCTCCTCCCTTTTAAAAATTTAATTTAATTTAATTTTGTTTGTATGAGGACTATGCCTGCATGTATGTAAGTGCATCTGTGTCATGAAATGCCCACAGAGGTTGGAAGAGGGCTTCAGATCCCCTGCAACTGGAGTTATGGATGGTTATTAGCCACTATATGGGTGCTGATTTGAACCCAGGTCTTCTGCAAGAACAGTCAGTGCTCTTAACCTTTGAGCCATTGCTACAGCCCCCTCCCCTTTTTTTTGAGACTGTCTCATATAGTTTAGACTGGCCTCAAATTTGTTAAGTAGCTGAGGATAACCCTGAACTCCTGCTCCTTCTGCTTCTACCTCCCAAGTACTGGAATTATAGGTGTGCACCACCACACCGGGCCCCCTGGAGACCATCCTATTTCACTGCCCTGTATCCCAGTCGCCTCTGTGACTGAACCTTAGCCTGGCACACCGTAGATACTTAGTGGTTATTGTTAGGTAACTCACAAATGAAATAAACCTGATGTTTTGAGTTTACAGATTAGTAAACTGAAACTCAGACCCAGGGGAAGGCCACCAGGGTCCACTGCTCACTGCTGCCAGGTTTACGACCTGCCAGCCCAGTCTCCCAAGCCCAGACCTTGGGTAGAAGGTCTTGAGTTGAGGTCACTGGGTGAGAATTAGAAAAAAACTAATTAAGTTGTCCTGTGATGGTTGCCACTGGCTCTTCCCCCAGACCGGACTCACCCAGCGAGAGGGAATTGAGGATGATGCCGGAGAAGGTCATGCCCATCAGGAACCGGAAGACACAGTAGGCACTGAAGGAGCCCACATACGCTGTGGCGGCCCCAGAAACTGCCAGCTGCAGGTACGACCAGACCAGGGGAGCTTTGCGGCCCAGCCTGAACCCGGAGAGTGAGTAGGCACAGGGGTTAGAGTTTCTGAGGCAACCACACATCCCATCCCCAGGGAACAAAGCCTCAGCCTGCACCTCACCCTCCCACCCTGGTGTAGGGGTTACAAGGCAATCAAAGGGAAGCGAGGGTACCTGGTGAAAGCCACCCTCAAAATAGCACATGTGACCACCAGGATCCAAGCAACGATGACTGAGGGTGCTTGGGGAGAGAGGGATATGGTGTAGAAGAAAACCAGAGAGGAAGAGATTTACTCCAGGTTGGGGAAAGGCAGAGATTCTGCAGAGACCCAGAAGCCTATGCCTGTAATCCCAGCATTAGGTAGTGGAGGCAGGGAGATGGAAGTTCCAAGTCATTCTTGGAGTCATAGTGAGTTCTAGGCCAGCCTGGGCTACATGAGACCCTGTTTCAAGGAAAAAAGCGACACAGATGGAGTTAGAGGCCAGCCTGAGATATATGAAACCCTGCACACACACAAAGCAAAAGAGGCTGGAAAGATGGCTTAGTGGTTAAGAACACTGGCTGTTCTTGCAGAGGACCTGGGTTCAGTTCCCAGCACCCACATGGTGGCTAACAACCTCCCTAACTCTAGTTCCAGGGGATCCAACACCCTCTTCTGGCCTCTACAGGCATTGCATGACACAGGAGCACATATATACATCAAGCAAAACATTCATACACATAAAATAAATAGATCAACAAAAATATAAAAAGAAAAAGAAAGGAAGGTAGGTAGATGAGTCCAAGAGCTTTCCAGGGCGTCTGAGACCCTCCTGTTAAAGCCTCACCTGTCTGCAAGGCTGCCAAACAAGGCGGCCCCTACAAGCACCCCGGCCATGTAGACGGACTGAGCCAGGTCCCGGAGGGTTCGGGCCTCACACACCAGGTCCCACTATTGGGGAGAGAAGAGTGCTCAGCCTTGACCTCAGGCGGCCACCCCCCATGCCACCCACCCATACCTCTGACCTCCATCACGATAGTGGATGGGAAAACACTTCGATCAAAGACCCAGCCATCCTTGCAGCCCTCTGTGGGTGCCTCGTAGGTGGAAGTGTTGAGTCTCAGAAGGGACCACTGAGGTTCTATGAAACGCTGGCATGATTCAGGGATCCCATGCTGGTCCAGAGGTATGGTGGCCCTCAGCCAGACCCCGGAATCATTGGCGGCAGCCTCTGTGTGGCTGGCAGGGTGTTGGCAGTGGTGTGGGGGCGAGGCAGCTGTGAAGTTCTGTAAGAAGGTGTGACAGGCCAGCAGGCCACAGGGCAGCAGGAGCAAGGCCGTATAGACAATCTGGAAGCGACCCACACCCCCCAGGGCATCCAGCAGGTCTGTGAAGGCCATGGCCAGGGCCTGACCCAAGGACCAGCCTGCCCAGGCCTTATGTAAAGGGAGGAGGGAGGGGCCTGAGAGGCAGAGGATCAGGCCAGGGGTTAGGGCCACACAGGTCCTCTGCCCAGCAGCTCAGAGGGGTCCAGTTACACCTCATGGGAGGCCTCATGTCTGCAGGGAGCCCCTCCCCCACACCCTTTCTCCAGGTCTCTTACCTGAGCTAGAAAAGGTGGGGAGGGTTGGGAGGTTGGGAATTGAGGAGATAGCTTAGTCAGTAGAGTGCTTATCTTGCAAAAACAAAGATCTGAGATTGAACCCAGAACCCATATAAAAAAGACAGGCACGGCAGCAGGTACCTGTACTCCCAGCGCTAGAGACTGATCCATGAGGCTTGCTGGCCAGACAGCCTATTCTAATCAGTAATACCCAGGCCCCAGAGAGAGACCCTGTTTCAAAAAAAAAAAAACAAAACAAGGTAGTCCAGGTGTGGTGGCACAGGCCTTTAATCCCAGCGCTTGGGAGGCAGAGGCAGGGGGATCTCTGAGATAGAGGCCAGCCTGGTCTACATAGTGAGTTCTAGGCCAGGCTGGAAACAGAACAAACAGAAAAACAAGGTGAACGGCTCCCGAGAAATGACACCTGAAGTTAACTCTGGCCTACATACATATGCATACACACCTGCACTCACCTGAATAGGTAAACATACACACACATATGAAGGATCCCAAAGGGCCACCTTGCATCCCACTGCCCAAGTCTGTGAACCCAGTTGCTCTGTCTCCACTTCAGGATCTCAGCAGTTCATGTGGCAATGTTACCTTTTCCCTCTGGGGGCCATCATGAGTCTCAGGAGCCCCAGTTCTAACCTCAGCACATGGGATAAAGACCTTATCATTAGTTTCCAAGTCTCAGCTGGGTCCACAAGTATTCACAGTTAAAATAACAAATGTTGGGGTGCTGGTGATGATGGCTGCTTGCCCTTCCCTGCTCTGTGGGATGACGTGGATTTGAATGCACAGGTGATAATTGGAAAAAGTCCCTTAAAAATTTTCTAATACAGCCAGATATGGTAGCACACATCTTTAATTCCAGCACCTGGGAGACAGAGGCAGGTGGATCTCTATGAGTTCAAGGCCACCCTGGTCTACATAGTAAATTCCAGGCAACCAGCAGCCAGGGCTAAATAATGAGACCCTGTCTTAAAAAAAAAAAGTGGGCGGCGAGGGTGGGGGGTGGTTGGAGGGATGGCTCAGGGCTTATGAGCCACTGGCTGCTCTTGCAGAGGACTTGAGTTCAGCTCCCAGCACCCATATGGCAGCTAACAACCATTTGTAACTCTAGTTCCAGGGGATCCACACCCTCTTCTGGCTTCCTTGGACATTGTAGATAAAACACTTATACACATAAAATAAACTTTAACAAAAGAATAAAATAAAATAAAAACCCAAATAGAACCGGTAAGATGGTTTAGGAGGTAAATGCACTTGCCTTTCAGGCCTCATGACCTGAGTTTAATCCCTGGAATCCATGTGGATTCCTGAAAATTGTCCTTTGACCCCCATTTTGTGTGTCTGACACACCCCCCATAATAATGTCCAAATAGGTACTTGCTCTAGCAGCACATATACTAAAGTTGGAACAATACAGAGATTAGTGTGACCCCTGTTCAAGGATGACATGAATTTGTGAAGGACTCCACATTCCTACACTGAGACTCTCTACACCTGCATCTAAGAGAGGCCCCTCAGTGTGGCTAGCCTTGTCTGACAGGAGTGACACTACTCTAGCCCTAGCAAGTGTTCAATCCTGGGAAGCTAAGGAGCAACTGCAGGAGAGAGGGAAAGAATCCAAGGGATGGGAACTTTCTCTCTCTTTGAATAAATGCCACTTTTTTTTCTTATGAGATAGGGTCTTACTACATAGCCCTGGCTGGCCTGAAACTCACTATGTAGATCAGGCTGGCTTTGAACTCACGGAGATACACCTGCCTCTGCCTCCCTCTGCTGGGTTTAAAGGCTTACGCCACTACACCCAATTCTAAATATCCCTCTTTTGTTTGTTTGTTTGAAACAGGGTCTCATTATATAACCTGGGCTGGCCTAGAACTCTGCTATATAGACCAGGCTGGCCTCGAACTCACAGAGATTTGCCACCACACTTACATCCATGAATTCCAGGCCAGCCAGGGCTATAGGGAGACCCTGTCTCAGAATGACCAAAAAAAGAAGAAGTTCAAGGTCACTGTTGTTCTATAGGAAGTGGGAGGCCAGCTGAAGTGTGTGAGACCGTCTCAAAATCGAAACTAGGGCCAACAAGATGGCTCACCGGGTAAAGGCACTTGCCACACAAGCCTGTCAGCCTGAGTGGGAGAGAACCAACTCCATAAAGCTTTCTCTGACCTCCATACAAATGCCATGGCACACATCACCCCCACCCATGTGTTACACACAGACAACATACACAATAGATAATGATTTTAAAACATTTTAATTAAAAGTAAACAAAACCAAACCAATGTCTAAATAGGGCAGTTGACAAGCAGCCCAGAGCCTCAGCCTCAGGCCCCAGCTCTCAGATCATCCCCATCCACTGACTGTCAATCACAACCCACTCCCTGGACTGAGGCCTGAGGGCAGGGAGGGGTCCAGAGCCTCATTTACCCCTGTTCTCTCCCATTCCTAACAAAGCAGTCTCCTGCTGCTGAAAGAGAGGCCAACAGAGACTGGCCCAGGGGTTTCCAGTGAGTAGGCGACTGGGGCAAACTGTAAGCTCAGGGCAGTGTGGAGCTGTTTCCCACCCAGGACATGAAGAGGTGCCTCCTTCCATCTCTACCTCATAGCCTGTGGGTGGTTCCCACCTCTGAGTCCCTCTGTCTGCTTTCTAAAAAATATTTTATTTATCTGTGTGTATTGCCTGCATGTATGTAAGTGTACCAGTGTCACGCGAAGCTGGCAGAGGTCAGAAGAGAGTGTCGGACCCTCTGGGACTGGAGTTATGGATGCTGTTAGCCGACATGTGGGTGCTGGGAATCCAACCCCGGTCCTCTGCTTAGCTGCTGAGCCATCTCTCCAGCCTGTTTTCTTTTTTCTTTTCCAGACAGGCTGGCCTGGAACTTCCTATGTAGCTGAGGATGACACTGAACTTCTGATCCTTTCTCTACCAAGGCAATCACTCTATCAACTCAACTATACACCCAGCCTGGGTTCCTCTGTCTCCACTGGTTCCCTGCAGCCTTTGTCCTAGGCCATGCCCCCCCCCACCTTACTTCGGCCCACTTGTATCTGTAAAGAATAGCCACAAAGGCTGGAACAGCTTATGTAAACTGCACATGTCTGGATCACAGGGTGTCCTCTTGCAGCCCAGAAAGGAGGCTCTGTTCTTTGGGAAGCTCCCTGGGGGGTCAGGTTTGTGCTAAGTAGGGGTTTGGGTTTCTCTGCTGATGGATGTGTGCTAGGAAGGCAGGCTCAAGGAAGATGTGTAAAGCCAGTTCAGCCAACTGGACTGGACCTTCAATGGGCCAGCCCAGTTTTAGTCTCTGTGCCCAGGCCCTCAGCCTATCCTCCCATGCCTCCTAGGGTCAGAGGTGCCCTCCCCCAGATGCCAAGTCTGCCAACAAGGATGAGTGTAAGGCCATGAGCTGTCCTTATCCAAGGTTTGCTGGTGTAGTCACAGGAGCAGGCTTGGGAGAATGACACCCCAGAGACAAACACATGGCCTTTTCTTTTATTATCCAGAGTTCCTCTGCATTGAAACACGGGCCCTCCCCAAACCACCCCAGTACCTGGTCCTCCATAGCCAGTTCACCAATCCCTGAAGAGTCCCCTTGAAAATCATCACTATAAAAAAGGAGAGGAGGCAGGAGGGAGCACCCTCCAGGCTGAGCAGCTCCTGGTGGGTGCGTGGGGCAGGAGAAGAGGAGTGGTTTGGTTTGCAGGTCAAAGGGACCTTGGTTTCTGCACAGGAAGGTACAGGTGATTCCTGTCCTAGGGGTTCCCTCAGAGGGGTGGAGGCTTGAATACCCAGATACTAGTGGTTATAAAGTCTGCAGGTCTAGAGGATGGCTGGGGCTGTAGCTTCTACCACGATGGCAGGGGGCACATCAGGATGCTGGAGTAGGAGTGCTCCCTTATGCCCCTGAGGCAGTTGTAAGCGCGGAGCTGTCTTTCTGGCCTTGGGTCATGAGTGGGTTCAGGGTTGCCCACACTGAGCCCTTGGCCACAGAAGCAAGGAGGGCCCCATGGCTCTGCCCAGAGCAGGGGAAACAGAGGTGGTGGGGAGGAGGGAGGACAGGAGGACGAAGATGCCTTCCTGTTCCAAGGAAGGCACTTGCAGCTGACGTGGCCTGATGTGGCATGGCAGGAAGGCGTGGCTTGGCAGAATGAGGGAGGAAGGGTACGGCAGGGGAACCCCCACCTCATGCAAACATGGTCAGCTGTAACCACTGTGGGGGCAGAGACAGGTCAGGGGTGGACATCAGAAGGGCATTATGGCCATTTCAGTTTTATCCCTCACCCAGCCCGAGTTCAGCTCCTAGCCCCATGGCTCAGACACCATCTTGTCTCCTCTTTGAAAGATTCTTGCAGGCAATGGAGGGATGCTTTCTCAGCTCTCTACCTGAGGAGACCAGGCTTCTGGTTCCCACTATCTTCCAGGGGTCTGGCCTCTCCGTTTCTTCCCTCACTAAGCCCCAGAATCCCTTGGACACCCCAGCCTTGAGGGCTGGTTCTAAGGTCACAGACTCCTACCCAGGAAGGGACAGGAGAATGTGGGGGACAATCTCACCTTAAACAGGTCGAAAGTTACGACACCATCCAGGTCTGTGTCCAGAGATTTGAAAAACCCTGTGTTTAAGGAAACATGCGTTAGATCTGGGACAGTCAAACACAGCCAGGACTAGTAGCCCCACTTTCCACGCACCCCAAGCTATCACTCCTTTAAAACCAGGAAGCTTCCTGCCCAGTGATGCATGCCTGGGCCCTCCCCTCCCCATACTCCATGGACTCAGCCTGTGAGTGACCAAGTACCCACATATGAGGCTCTGGTCCCACTTCAGCCTCCACACCCTCCAGTGCTGCCTCCATCCCATTCACTCTACTGTCTCTCCCACTGGCTCCTAAGAATACGTTCAGGACACCTCAGGAAGGTGGCATCAGTTAGGGACACTCACGGAACATGGTCTCCAGCCGCACGAGGCAGCACACGAAGTTGTCAAAGTCCACAGCCAGGTCAGGCTCTGAGTAACGGGTAATGATGAGCTCATACAGCTTCTTGTTGAGTTTGAAGCCTGGGTAGAAGAAGGGCAAGTGAGTCCCAGAGCAGGAGCAGGAGCATGGAGGAGGTGGTCTAGGCAGGGAACTTGGGGTCATTCTTCAGGCAGAAGGGCTCAAGGACTTCCTAGGCAGGGCTGGGAGCTGAGAGAGGCTGGGTAAGCAAGGGCCAGGTCCAGGGGGAGCATCATGCCCAGGTCACCCAAAGAAATCAGGAGCTGGATGCAGGGGACCTACCTAGGCATCTGGTCAAGTTGGTTCAAAATGCCCTGGACTTGTCTTTACACAGCCCAGTGTGAGAGAAAGTTCTACACCTGTCTCACTGCAGCTTGGAGCCTGGCTCTGCCCACCCTCACTCTGCCTACTGTGGCTCTGTGGCCTGAACTCATTCATTCTCCCTCTGAGCCTCAATTTGGGCTGGGGAGATGACTCAGAGGCTAAAGCAAGTGGTATGTTTGTGGACTGGACTTTGGATCCCCAGCATAAAAACCAGCCCACCTCCAATCCCAGGAGTCACTTGGGAGGCAGATAGGGAATCCCAGCTAGCTAGATGAAGCTAACTGGCTGGTTCCAGATTCAGTGAGACCCTGTCTCAGTAAATAAGTGGAGAATGATGGATGAAGACACGCAGTGCCAACCCATGGCCTTCACATGTACATGTACACATGTGTACATAGACTCAAACACATACTCAAACATACATACGCACAGGCACTCACACAAAATAAATAAATAAAAGGCCCTGCTCTTGGTCAGCTGCAAAGGCAGGAAGTGAAGAAATACTAAAAAGGTACTTAGCTTAGTGACCTCAGTACCCCAAAACCCCGGGACAAGGGCCATTGCCCTGGGCAGCTGTCAGGGAGGCATCCTGGGGCACAGGAGCAGTGGGGCCATCTGCTATGGGCTGCTGTCATTAGCCTTTGGGCCTCACCTGCAGACTCGATGGCCATCCGCATCTCGTAGGCACTCATGCTGCCGGACTTATCCAGGTCAAACTTCCGGAAGATGGACTGGGATGGGGGACAGGAGGGAGAGCCGAGTCAGCAGCTCTTCCTGTGTCCCCAGGCAGGTTCAGGAGGAGGGGAGCAGCCAGGAAGGGGGTCATTTGCTGGGACATGTGGGCTCAAGGAGTGGGAAAAGGGGGTGGCATGCAGAAGGGCAGAGCTGGAGAGGAGGCCCGGCTCACACAGTTAGCCTGGGGTCTACCCAGGTTAGCCCACGCCATGACTGAAGTCACTGAGGGGCAGGAAAGCCCAGCCAGGGGACCACCTACCAGGTAATTTCGGATGCGGTTCCACAGGATGTTGAACTCCACCAGGCCCAGCTTCCCATTGCCATCACGCTGAGTGGATGTTAAGAAGGAAACCGCAGAGCTGAGAGTCTGAGAGTTGGCATGTAAGGGGGAGAGCTGGGGAGGGGGCTGGCTTTGGAGAGCGCCACATGACCAGGAGACAAGAGGAGGCAGCAGTCACTGGCAGCCCACAGCTGGAGTTCTGCAGACTGAACAGAGTGGAGTGGGCTGGGAAAGGCTGCAGAAACAGTACCAGCCGTTGGCTCAACTGGGGACCCAGGCCTTGCTCCATTTTCTCTAAGACCTAAGCCTCAGTTTCCCCTCCTGTTTAACTGGAAGATATCCAGGAAGGTGTCTGAACATGGGGCCCCACTGCCTCTGCACCCTATTAGCGCTGTCACATCTGTGATGCTCCTGGGACAGTCACCCAGCACCTGTCTCATACCCAGATCGCTAGCCCCAAACCCTATAGGAGATGAGAGCAGATGAAAGGATACGTCCATGAGGTTCACCATGCTGCGGCATGACTCCAGGCTGAAGCCCTTGGTCCGCAGGTCTTTGTCTGTTAAAAAAAACAAACAGCTCCAGGAGGCTGGGGTGTAGCTCAGTTGGCAGAGTGCTTGCCTAGTGTGCATGAAACCCTGGGCACAAACTCCAGCAGAACGTGGTGGTGTGTGGCTGCCATCTTAACAACTGAGGGGGGTGGTAGAAGATGGAAGGTTAGGAGTTCAAAGCCAGCCTCAGTTCAGGACTGGCCGGGGTTACATAAGACCCTATCTCAAAAAGAAAAGGATGAATGGGGAGATAGTTCAGTGGGTAAGAGCGCTTACTGCATAGGCATGAGGTCCTAAGTTCATATCCCAGCACCCACATAAAAAGCTGGGTCTACCTGAACGTCTGAACCCCAGCTGTAGAGGGGCCAAGACAGGAGGATCTCCAGGGCCTACTGGCTGCTAGCCTAGCTTCAGGTTGAGTGTATCAAGGAGGGACTTAATAGAGCAGGGCACCTGATTCCCTCATCTGGCCTCTGTGCATGCACCTGCACACATATGTGCACCTACATGACACATTATATATACAGAAAGATACAGAGAGGAGGAGGAGGAGGAGGAGGTGGAAGGGGGAGGAGGAAGAGGAAAAGGACAAGGAGGATCAATTTCACATCAACCACAAGATCTTCCCAAACTTGCTCTATGCTGGGATCCCTGTGCTGGCTGGGGGGCAGGGAGGTTCAATCCTGCCCCTTGAGCAACTGGGTAGAGGAAAATGCAAAGCAATTCTGTTTCTCAACAGCCTGGTCAGCATCTAATGGTTGGCCCAAAGGAAAATGAAGCAAGAGTTGAACAGACATGAAAGAAACCAGGCAGAAAGAGGCCCAGGCAGGGACTGGCTGTGGGCTGGGAAGGGTAAACAAAACTTCGATGGGAAGGTAGGGCAGGAGAGGTCTGGGGCTCAGGAATATGTGCAGGCAGCTTGGGGCAGATGATGGCCACATGCAGACAAGGCCAGAGGGGAAGGGGAAGTTGGGGGCAGCTGCCTTAGCCCTACACATCAGGGCATGAAATTTAGTCATGCTCTGGCCTGGTTGGTGGTGGGGAGAGACTGTCTTTGTGAAGAAGCGGAGCTTTTCCCTCAGCATGGAGGTGCCAATGGCTAGCTCTGTTCTGGGCCTGGAAGGCTGTCTGTCCTTCCTGAGGACACACAACTCAAGCAGGAGGACAGGGTGGGGCAGGGAGCATGAGGATGGCTCAGTCAGGCAACTGAGGGTTCACCGGTCACACAGCCAAGGGCAGAGTTCTACTCTTGTGAGGACAAGAACCTGGATTGGAACACTTGGAGTGAAATGGGGACAGGAGGTGAGGTAGAGACAGCCACTTGGGGACCCTCACGTTTGCTGATGATTCTGTTCAAGATGGTCTGTAGCTCCTTAACACTGATCTCCAGGTCCTGGTGGGCAGAGGAAGGATGGCATCCAATCCACACAGGGTTTCCCATCCCATCCCCCGTTTCCCATTCCACACAGGATTTCCCATCCCACCCCCCCATTCCACAGAGGGTTTCCCATCTCATTCACCCCCTTCCCCCACTCCATACAGTGCTTCCCATCCCACCCATCCCTGGTATACCTCCCCTGCCAGCTGCCTGAACAAGGACTTGAAGCTCTCATCAATCTCCTCTTCTGAGAGTACTTGCTGCCCCCAAAAGAAGAGAGAAGAAGTGAGGGACACCACAGCTCTGTCCCTGTCCATAGGAATGGCCACTGGATGTGGGGTGGGACACTCCAGCCACATGTCACTCCATCTCTCTGAACCTTACTGTTCTAACCTGTAAATGGGGGGTCTGCCCTCTGCCCAGGACTCTTGTGGCTCCAATGAGGGGTGATGGAAGGTTTAGGTTAGGGTTCTTGCTTGCTGTGTGAATGTAGGCAAATTCCTTAACTTCTCTGAACCCATGTTTTCCCTTCATAGGGGATATCATGAAGTACCCAAATGAGGTGGTTGGGGTGATGGGGAGGGGAATAAGATACACAGACCTAGCCCAGCACAAGTGCAGGGATTTCCTACCATCACAAGCCCTTTGCAAACTGTAAAGGGCTGAGCAAATGAGGAATTCGTATTGTTCTTAAGGGCTCCTAATCAGGAGGGGGTCTGCTCTGCCAGCTGGAGCCTAGGGGTCACTCAGGTCCCCATCTCGCACCCAGGGGAAAGGAGGGGACCTCGCACCTCATCAGGAAGGTTGGCCTGGATCTGGTCATCCAGCTCCCTGCAGAGTGAAGAAGGCCAGTCAGAGGGGGGTCGGGGCTGCCTTGGGGAGGTGGGAGAGGAGGGGCTGGTGGCTGCCGTGGGGAGGTAGGCAAAGGCAGGTGGGGGGGGTCTGTGACTCACTGGGTCCCAGCTCTCTTCTCTGAGAAGAAGCGCAGCACAAAGTCGCCCTCCTTGTTGGGCTCGAAGGTGGAGGGCACCACCACGTACTCCCCGGGCGGCAGGCGGAAACGGGTGCTGACTTCCCGAAGGTTGATGAACTGCTCCGAGCGTGCCCGAGATGAGTTGGAGAGGAAGAAGTCCCGCTTCAAGTGCACAGGCTGGCCCACCAGCTGGTGGGAGGGAGGAAGTGGCAGGGCTGCAGTGACCACTCAGTCTACCCTTGGCTGCCACACAAAGCCCAGGCCCGGAGCCCAGAGCCCAGGCTGCAAGTTCTGGTTTGGAGGGGTTGGACAGCCAGTCACAGATCCCTTACAGTCTAAGACACCTTGACAAGTGATTTTTGCCTCAGTTTCCTTATCTGTAAACTCTGAGTGCCCTGGCTAGGCTGTGGCTTAGTTGGTAGAGTACTTGCCAAGCATGTGGGAAGCCCTGGGTTCAGTCTCTAGTACTGTATAAACCAGGCATGGTAGCACATGTCTGTAATCCCAAAACTGAGGATGCAAAGGCAGAAGATCAAGAGTTCAAGATCATCTTCGATTCTAAAATGAGTTCAAGGCTAGCCTGGGATGTCTCAGCCAATCAATCAATTAATCAACCAATCAAATGTGAGTATCTAACTTAAGTACAGATAAGGGACATTAAAAACTATGATGTGGGACCAGTGTGGTGGCACACACTTTCAGCCCCAGCACTCGGGAGGCAGAGGCAGACAGATCTCTGTGAAATCGAGGCCAGCCTGGGCTACATAGTGAATTCCAGGCCAGTTGGGGCTACAGGGAGACCCTGTCTCAAAAAACCACACCACACCAAACCAAACCAAACCAAAACCCTATGATGTGGCAGGGAGTGGTGGTGCATGCCTTTAGTCCCAGCACTCAGGAGGCAGAGGCAGGTAGATCTCTACTTCCATAAATAAAACCAAAACAATGATGCAGGATCGGAGAGATGGCTCAGTGGTTAAGAGCACTGGTTGCTCTTGCAGAGAACCTGGGTTCAGTTCTCAGAACCCATATGGCAGCTCACAACTATCTGTAACTCCAATTCCAGGGAATCCAAAACCCTCTTCTGGCCTCTGCAGGCACCAGACACCTGTGTGTAGGTAATGCACTTACATATGTAAAATAAAAATAAATAAACATTTTTCTAAAAACCTACAATGCAGGAAGGGGGGTGTAGCCGAGTGGTACGGTACTTGTCTAGCATATGGGAGGCCCTATGTGGGAGGGCCTAGGTCAATCTATGATGTCTCATAAGTAGCACTGTATTTTTACTCCTTAGAGTGGTTCTAGTGCGAGACAATGCAGCTCACTGAGCATCTCAATAACTGGGGAGTGTTCCAATTGTTTTTTTGTTTGTTTTTTTTTGAGACAAGGTCTCAGGTAACCTAGGCTGGACTTGAACTATATAGCTAAGGATGATCTTGAACTCCTGAATCTCCTGCCTTTACCACCCAAGTGCAGAGATTCCAGGCTCCACTCACCACACTGGGCTGGGAAAACCCTTTTTTTTTTTGGTCTTTTTGAGACAAGGTCTACCTGTAACCCCAGTTGGCCTGGAATTCACTATGTAGACCAGGCTAGCTTTGAACTCACAGAGATCTGCCTGCCTCTTCCTCCCAAGTACTAGGACTAAAGGCCTGTGTGCCACCATGCCAGGCGTGAAGACCCATTTTTCAGACATAAACTCCAAGGCTCAGAGTATCAGCCTCTTGCTGAATGGTACAGACCACCCAGCCCAGGTACTCCTGCTTAACCAGCACCCCAGCCTACCCCTGGTTCCCGCTTCCTCAGCTTGAACAGCAAGACAGAGAAAGCCTTTGTGCTGGGTGGAGCTCAGGAACCAGAGTTCAAATCCAGTCCTTCCTGCCTGCTCTGGCCCTCAGGAATACGACTGTCCTACCCCCGTGAACAGACACTGAGGGAAGAAGCACTTTTCAAGCAGCAAGGGACAAGTGACATCTCGATGCTGTATATGGGGTAGGACTGACATGGTTCTTCGCCCCTCTGAGCCCCATCAGGCTGGTGAGTTCACCGGCTGTTAAACCAGGTGAGAGGAGAGCCACACATACCTCGGGTGGGATCTGAAAGACAGAGAGAACAGGTGTTTACCTTGGAGCTAGGACAGTGTGCATGCTGGGCAACAGTCTTGAGATCTTAAGCCTGGAGGGAGCCTTGGGCAGGAAACAGATGGCTAGTAATGACCCAGACCTGTCCTCCCTCCTGAGAGGGAGGAGGAGGCAGGAGTTTCTGTCCCTAGGCCTCCCTCTGTAGACCTGAATCAAAGATCCTAGAACAGCTGTCAGGTTCAGAGTTCTAAAGCCCAGGGCCAGAGACTCCCAGTCATCAGTGGCCAGGGCTTCTGGATGTGGTGCCAAGGCTATGGCTTCCTTCTACTCAGGCCAGGGAGAGCTAGAAGTTTCCATCTCCATCTTGAGCACAGAATGGGAAGCCACAGGTGCAGTCACAGACTACCCACAACAGCCTCTTCTTGGGTAGCAGACAGAGACCTCTGCTCACAACCCTCCATGACACCACACTTATCCACTTCTTCCCCCAGCAGAGCCCAAAGTCTGATCCCAAAAGCTGTGGCACACGTAGCAGCCAATCTGGCTTCTTATTCCCCATTTTATGCCCAATCTTCTAGAAGGGAGAATTCTAGCACCTTCCCTCCCTGTAGCTAACCCTCTGGGCAGCAGCGACCTTGGGCGCCCCCTGGTGGCAGCTAGCTGCAGAGGCGCAGGCTGGGCCCATTCTCCAGGCTCATCCACCCGGCTCATCCTCCAGACTCACCTCATATACCGCGAAGCCGATGGTCTCCATGTCCCGGCCAAAGCGCCGCTCTCGGCGGCGGTGCTTCTGCATGAGAGCCAGCACGAAGCTGCAGCCTGACTCCCGACTCCCGTAGTCGTCTTCGTCGTCCACCTCCTCCAACCGGATCTTAAACTGGGGGTTCACCCAGAAGGTAGCTGTAGAGGATGAGATGGGGATCAGAGGCAGGGCTGGGCAGATGCCCTTCCCAACAGGTCTCACTCACACACCCCATGTCTGTCCATTCATAGATTCATTCTATGGTACTGTCATAAATGCCAGTGTGTCAGGTGATTGAAAAGCAGACTGGACAGACAGCGTTCCTGTCCTAGAGGGCTCACCTTCTAGAGGGGAGGGGTAAGAGTAAACTAACAGAGGGTGAATTAACAGCAGGAGCTGAGGGTTTATTATAGCTCAGAGGTACAGCCCTGGCCTGGAGGGCTCAAGGCCTTGACTTCTGAAAAAGAAAAGCAAGCAGGAGTTGGCCTGAGAAAGAGACTTGACCTGAGCCTAATTTTGAGTCAGGTGGGGTGTGCACACCTTTAACCCCAGCCTTCTCCAGACCCAGGCCAGCCTGGTCTACATAGTGAATTCCAAACCAGCCAGGGCTACAGGGAGACCCTGTCTCAAAAACCAACCAACCAGAGGAGGTGGAAAGATTGTAAGAGCCAGAGTAGGTGGATGACCACAAGGAAACAGAGTCTTCCAAACAGCTGGTCATACAAATTCACAGCAATGGTGATATCATGCACAAGTCCTATGCAAGCCCAAATCAGACAAAATCCCAGAATAGACACAGGGGAGTGGGTAAGAAATCCCAATCCAACCTAAGGCAATTAATGACTGCTGGGAGGGGAAAGACAGAGGCTTACAGGGATGGGACTCTTGGTGGGCCCAGTGGATAGAGCCACACTGAAGGACATTTAGTGATATAAATTAGACTCCATAAACCATATATTAAATTACTGGGTGGGGGGCAGAGGAGGAGGTGCAGAGAGGGGATCGGATCTGAAGATCATCAAACTATACTGTATGAAAATCACAAGAATTCTGTGAAACAAATAAACTAAATAAGTAAAAAGCTAAAAAAAAATCAATATATCAAAGTTATTTCCTTGCTAAGACCAATGTTGACAACCTCACAACTAAGAAAACAAAGACTGGTATATACAAATATGCAATTAAAAATATTTTCTTTATTATTTTTATTTTTATGTGTATGCATGTATTGCCTGCATGTAGGTATGTGCACCTGTGTCATGCAATGCCCTCGGAGGACTGAAGAGGCTGTCGGATCCCCTGGAACTGGAGTTACAGATAGTTGTTAGCTGCCATATGGGTGCTGGGATTCAAACCTGGGTCTTCTGCAAGAACAGCCAATGTTCTTAACCTCTGAGCCATCTCTCCAGCCCCCAAATATGCAATTTTTAAGAGTAAGGCTAGGCGTGGTGGCGCACACCTTTAATACCAGAACTGAGGAGTCAGAGGCAGGTAGAACTCTATCAGTTCAAGGCCAGCCTGGTCTACATAGTGAGTTCTAGGACAACTGGGGTTTCAGGGAGACCCTGTCTCAAAAAGGACCACCCCCCAAAAGATGTTATTACAAATAAGGTCTAAGAGTATACAAAATACAAAGGATGCTAAGCATGGGGACACTTATCTGAAAGCAAGGGCATTGCAAGTTCAAGGCATCCCTGGCCTAAAGAGAGTTCCAGGTTGCCCTGGGAAATTTAGTGAGACTGTGTTCCAAACCAAAAAGTAGAAAGAGGGCCAGGACCAAGTGTGGTGACTCAAGAGGCTGAGGCAAGAGAGTAGCCTCAAGTTTAAGTCCACCCTGGGCTACACAGTGAGTTCCAGGTCAGGTGGGGCTACAGAGTGAGACCTTACCTCAATAAATAAAAAACAAACAAACAAACAAATAAATAAATGTGATGGGGCTGCTGGAAATGTATCCCAGAGATAGAACACTTGCCCAGCATATATGAATCCCTGGGTATAGCCCTTAATACTGACAAAAAATAAAAAATTTAAAAAGCTTATCTTCATGAAAAGGAAAAGAACAGGCCTAGCAGCCTTGTAGACAGGCTTTTCCAAACATTCAAGCAACAAACTGTTCCAATATTGTGCAAAGTCTTCTAGAAAAAATAAAGAAAGGGATTGTTTTCTAATTTATTTTATAAAACAAACATTACCACACTGGTATGGCCAGTGAGAGCAAATGACAGAACAGGCAAACCTCACGCATGACCTTGGATGGAAAACTGTTGTATCAAAGTTCTCTCAGGGATGGGGATATTGCTCAGTGGTTAGAGTGCCTGCCTCCTGGCTTACATGATAGACAAAACTCTGGGTTGGATCCCCAGGGCCCTGTAAACCAGGTTTGGTGGCACACACCTGTGACTGCAGTACTTGGAGGCAGACAGGACCACAATGAATTCCAAACCAGTTTGGGATACAAAGAAACCCAATCTCAAAACAAAACAAAACAAAAAGTGTGTGTGGGTAGCTGGGTGTGCGGTTCAGTGGCAGAGCACATGCCTAGCATCTTTAAGTCCCTAGGTTTTCTCTCTAGCACCACAAAACAAAACAAACAGAAAAAAGTACTCCTCCCCCGAAGTATGCAATGTATGCAATGGTAAAACTACAAGAAATATTTATTGCTGGGGCTGGTGAGATGGCTCAGTGAGTAAAGGTGCTTGTCATAAAACATGATTTGAATTCAAGCCCCAGGTTTCACATGCCGGAAGTAGAGAACTGACTCCTGCAAACTGTCCTCTGACCTCATGGCGTGTGCACGTACACACACACACACACACACACACACACACACGCACACATGTACACTCACACGATATAAATATAGGGACTGGAGAGATGGCTCAGTGGTTAAGAGCATTAGCAACTCTTGCAGAGGACCTGGGTTCAGTTCCCACCACCTACAGCCATTGATAACTCCAATTCCGGGGGATCCAACACCCTCTTCTGACCTCCGAGGGCACTGCACGACATGGGTGCACTTAACATACATGCAGGCAATACATTCATACACATAAAATAATAAAAAATAATAAATACATTTAAAAATAAATAAATTTTATAACTTTCCCTTTAAGGGTCAGAAACAGCCTGGTGTGGCAGTTCATACTCACACTCTGGAACCTGAGGGAAAAGGATACATAGCAAAAATCCTGTCTCAGAAAACAAACAGGGGCCACAGAGATGACTCAGCAAGTAATGGTACTTGCCACCAAGCCTGATGACCAGAGTTTGAGTCCCAGGACCCACATGGTGGAAGGAAAGAATCAACTCCTGTAAGTTGTCCTCTGATCTTGTGTCCACACCTCTGTCCCCCAAAACCAATAAATAGAATGTGATAAAATTAAACACCAACAAAAAGACAAGACCAGGAATCCCTGGATGGCCACACCTATTTACATCTTCTAGACAGCATATTAAGTAAGAAAAAGTAGCAAAAGTTGAAAGTATTAGTCAAGAAACAAATGTGCTATTACTTGCTGATAGTAAACCAGAAGGAATCTAAGGATAAAGCAGTAAAAATAATTACAGTGTAACCAGTTTGCTGGCTACAAAATACATTGAAAAGGGTAACTCTGCACTATTGTATCAGTAAGTATCCCTTGAAAAGTGGGATTCCGAAGGAGACACTGGTGGTAAAGGCACTTGTGGCCAAGTCTGACAATGTGAGTTCAATCCCTGGGACTCACATGGTAGAGAGAAGGAACTGACTCCCAAAAATTGTATTCTGACCTCTGCATGTGTACCATGGCACTTGCGAGACCCCCCTCCCACACAATAAAAAAATAAAATGCAATTTTTTTTCTTTTGGTCTTTTTGAGACAAGGTCTTCCTATAGTCCCAGCTAACCTGGAACTTGCTATGCAGACCAGGCTGACCTTGAACTCACAAAGATCCACCTGCCTCTGCCTCCCGAGTGCTGTGATTAAAGGTGTGTGCCACCCCACCCAGCTAAAATGCAATTTTAAAAAAAATGTAAAGGAGACATTAAAGGTTGGGCACCCCTAATCTGAAAACCTCAAATCCCAAAGTCCCCAAATCTAAAAGGTTTTGAATGTCAACATGACAGCAGTGGAAAATTCCATACCTGACCCCGTGATGGCATGAAGGTGTGCTAAAAACATGATGACAGTTACCTCCCAGCTATGTAGATAAGCCATCCATAAAACATAAATGAAGTTCATGTTTAGACTGGTCCCATCCTTAAGATGGCTTGTTATGGGCCAGCGAGATGGCTCAATGGGTAAAATGCTTGCTGCCAAACCTGACAACCTGAGTTCAACCCCTTGGACCCACGTGATACAAGAACTAACTCCTGAAAGTTGTCCTCTGACCTCCACATGTGAACCTGTGGCACAAGCACCTACACACACACTAAATAAACGAACTTTTGTTGTGTTTTTTGTCTGAGACAGGGTCTCCCTGTAGCCCCAGCTGCCCTACAATTCACTATGTAGCCCAGGCTGGCCTCCATCTCACAGAGATCCACCTGCCTCTGCCTCCCTTTGCTGGAATCAAAGGCATGTATTACCACACCCAGCATGAATGTACTTTTAAAAAGCTATCCATATATATATATATATATATATATATATTTCAAAATCCAAAAATATACAGACTCCAAACTACTTCTGATACAAGAATTCTGGATAAGGAATATTCAAACTGTACTTAAAATAGTTAACAGGAAGACAGCACACCTATGAATAAATCTCAAAGAATATATAAGCCCTTTCAAACAAAAATTATACTGTTTCAGGCTGGAGAGATGGCTCGGCAGTTAAGAGCACTGACTGCTCTTGCAGAACACGGAGTTTCCATTCCCAACACCCACATAGTGGCTCACAACCATCTGCAATTCCAGTTCCAAGGGATCTGATGCCCTCTTTTGGCCTCCGTGGGCACCAAGCACACATGTAGTGCACTTATAAGTGTATGAGTGTTTTGCTTGCATGTATGTAAGTACATCCATGTTGTGCAATGCCTATGGAGGACAGAAAAGGACATTAGATCCACTGGAACTGGAGTTACAGATGGTTGTTAGCCATCATGTGGGTGCTGGGAACTAAATCTGGGTCCTCTTAAGAGCCACCAGTGCTTTTAACTGCCGAGCCATCTCTCCAGCCCCACATAAAGAATTTTAAAAGTATACTGCTCTATTAAAAAACATTAAAGTCCTAAATAAATGTTGGGGGAGAGCTTAGTAAAGAACTTGCTTTGCAAGCATGAGGACCTGAGTTCAATTCCTAGAAACCACATTAAAAAACAAAACAAAAGCTGGGCATGGTGGTGCATGCCTGTAGTCCCAGCACTTGGGAGGCAGAGACAGGCAGATCTCTGTGAGTTCAAAGCCAGTCTAGTGTATATAGTGAAGTCAAGGCCAGCTGGGGTTACAGGGAGACCCTGTCTCAAAAGACAAACTCCCACCCCCCAAAAAACCCCCAAAAAACCCTCCCACAAACCCGATGTGCAATTTCTACTTCTAATCCCAGAGCTGGGGAGGCAGAGACCACAGGTCCCTGGAGCTCTCTGGTCTGCCAGCCTCACCTAATCAGCAAGTTCCAAGTCAGTGAGAAACTGTCCCCAAAACAAAGTCCCTCTGGTCTCCACACGCATGTACACACATGCACCTGCACATACACAAACACAAATGCACACACATACACACACACACACACACACACAAAGACCAAGATAATACACAGTATACACATATTATGAGATAAGAAGGTTCAAAATTATAAAAACATCAATTTCCCTGAAATTGGCCTATGGATTTAGCACAATTCCAAATTAAAAGTGTATTTTAGTTTTGAGATAGGGTCTCGCTCTGTTGCTCAGGCTGGGACTGTGAACTCACACCAATCCTTCTAATTCCACCTCCCCAATCAGTACCAGGATTACAGGCATATGTCACCATACCTGGCTTTAAATTAAAATATTAAATAAACCACTTTGTCTATTTTGGGGGGAGCTAGGGATGGGGCTCAGAGCCTCACACATGCCAAGTAAACACTCTATCTCTGAGTTATACTTCCAGCCTAAATTTTTAAAATAGAATTTAGTAAATTAATGCTAAAATTCATATAGAAAAACAAAGGGAAAGAATAGCTAAGAGGAGGCAGAGGCAGGAAGATCAAGGTCATCCTTGATAACAAACTGAGTTCCAGGAGACCTGGGCTATGTGAGACCCTGCCTCACAAAACAAAACAAAACGCACAAAAACACTGAGACTCCTGAAGAAGGAATCCACCCTGTCCAATTGGCAGACTCCTAAACCCAAGACCAAAAACAGACCCATGAAGACCTGGGAACTGCACAGTGGCGCTAGCTAGACCCACGGGAGGAAAGCCCAGGCTTGTCAGCTGTGAAATGGGGAAACAGGGCTTGTTGATTTGGAGGAAAATCTCAAGTAAGGAAAAGAAAGCTTCCAAATGAGACCAGTGTCAGATGTAATACCAACACTCTGGAGGCAGGGGTAGGAGGATTTCTGTGAGTTCGAGGCTAGCTTGGTCTACATAGTGAGTTCCAGGCCAGCCGGGGCTACATAGTAAGACCCTGTTTCAAAAAACAAACAAAAAACAAAACAAAACAAAAGAGACCAGTAAGATGCACAGGGAACAGTCAGAGGATGCAGTGGTCAGGAGCCCAGTTCAGGGGTGAATTTGGCAAAATGATGGCTGCCAGGAAGGAAACGGCAGTGTGGCAATTCCTGAGCAAGTAACTTTGCAGTTGGAGCAGAGGCACAGGCAGGGAGGGAGGTGGGGTCAAGAGAGGGCCACATAAAGATGGGATTTTCCATAACACAGGAGTGAAAGAAGGGAAATGCTTTCAGAGGAGAGAGAAAACAGGACCAGGAACAGCAGGGCTGGGGTGGGGGGTAGGCAGGGAGGAGGCAGTGCAGACACATGGGTGATCTGAGACACACAGGGGAGCTGGAGGTGGGATCTGAGCATCCCGTGTAATGAATGAAATCAATCTCTCTCTCTCTCTCTCTCTCTCTCTCTCTCTCTCTCTCCCCCCCCCTCGGCAGTGTCTCAGCAGCCGAAGCTGGCCTCAAACTCACTATATAGCCAAAGCTAGCTTTGAACTCCTGATCCTTCTGCCTCTACTCTGGATTGCTGGGATTACAGGAGTGAGTTGTCACATCAGGCAAGGTGTGTCTTCAATGACATGCAAGGCTGGGTTCCTAGATGACAGTAAAGGAGGTGAGAGGTGGAGGCAAGTGTGGACTTCCTGGCTCTAAGTGGAATTGTGGGGACTGTGCAAAGCGCTCATTAGAGGTTTGTGGTTGTGAGTTTACAAGGAAAACAGCCTCAGTTGTGTGATTTCTCTCCAGCCACATTTAGTGGCTCTGAGCCAGTGGAAAGCTGGGTTCAACTGGGACTGTGGTTGTGCTGAGTGGCGGGAACAGAGGGAAGGAGAGGCCAGGAAACTGGATGTTTTCAATGTGGAGATTAAAATGCTGAAGGCCGATGGGATGTGGGTAAAAATATGCTTTCACTCGGGAGGCAGAGGCAGGCAGATCTCTGTGAGTTCAAGGCCAGCCTGGTTTACATAGCGAGTTCCAGGCCAGCTGGGGCTTCAGGGAGACGCTGTCTCAAAAAACAACAAAATGATTATTCATAACTGGGTAAGAGGGCTGACGCTGTATCTCAGTTGACAGAATGCTTCCTTAGCATAAAGCCCTGGGTTCCATTCCTTACATAAACCAGGTGTAGTGATTCACTTAGAAGGTGGAGGCAGGTAGATGGGAAGTTGAAGGTCATCCTTGGCTACTTAGCAAGACCAAAGCCAACTTGGGCTTGAGACCCTGTCTCAAAAGACCAAGACAAACCAGAGAGAGAGACAGACAGACAAACAGAGAGACAGGGAACATAATGCAAATAGGGGCTCAGCAATTCTGGCAGTCCTAGGAGACTAAGGCCTGTAGAAGGAGGGAGGGAGCTGGTAGGATTCATCGAAGGTGGAGGGCAGAGCCGGATGTGGGCAGGGGCGGGTGTATTCCTAGGTGAGGCGAGCAATGACTGGCAAGGCCCAGAGTGCCCTCAGTGCCCTGGGGTGGGGCAGGGCGGAGCTGGAGTAGAGAAAAAGGTTAATGAGCATGAATGTGTGAAGGTAAGGGGCTGCAAGGCCAGCCTCTGCAGTCAAGACAGTCACCCCCAGGTGAGAGGGAAAGGCGAGAGAATCTAAGGGAAGGGTGGGCGGGGAAGAGGCATGGCCAGCAGGTGTTTGGATGGAAACAAGGTCTTCTCCCTCTTATTACACTTGGCCACAGGTAGTCCAGGGTGGCTCCTGGCCCCTCAGCACTGATGAGGACATATACCAATGTACTCCTCAAAGCAAATTGGAAAGGTCCCTAAGTGTGACTATCTCTGTCTTACAAGGGAGGAAAACAGGCCCAGTCAGGTGGGCCTTCGCCTACCCCCGCCTCTCAGGTCACCTGGGTGGTTCCTGCAGTCCCCCGAGGTGCTCCCCCCACCTGGGTAGTTCCTGCAGCCCCCAGCGGTGCTCCCCCCACCTGGGTGGTTCCTGCAGCCCCCAGCGGTGCTCGCCCCACCTGGGTGGTTCCTGCAGCCCCCAGCGATGCTCCCCCCACCTGGGTGGTTCCTGCAGCCCCCAGCGGTGCTCCCCCCACCTGGGTGGTTCCTGCAGCCCCCAGCGATGCTCCCCCCACCTGGGTAGTTCCTGCAGGCCCCAGCAGTGCTCCCCCCACCTGGGTAGTTCCTGCAGCCTCCAGCGGTGCTCCCCCGGCGCCAGGTCCCCTCATAGAGTGTGGTGTTCCAGTTTCGGATAGTCCTGCTCTTGAGGGCGTCGGGAGTGAGGTTGCAAATCTCCAACCGGGTGAACTCTCGCATGAAATCTCGGAAGGACATCCTGGGAGCCCAAGGGCAGAGGTAAGTCATGGTCCCCAGGCTTGGTTATTGAGGGGTTTGGAGGAAGGAAGGAGCAGGCAGGGAAAGCATTGCTCACCAGAATTCCCCATCCTCCATCTTGATCCTCAGTTGCTCACGTACATAGGGATCCACGTTGTTCCACTCAGAGGAGCTGTGGAGAGCGGGCACTGCCAGGGACGGACAGCACTGACCTGCCTGGCGTCTGTTCCTGAGGCCTGACTGGCCTGGTCCATCTTCCCTTCTGAACCAATCCTCAGACCCCCATTCCAAGAGCTCTTTTTTTCCCCTTCCTTTTTAAAATATTGATTGATTGATTGTATGAGTGTGATGTGCTCTCTTGTGCCAGAACACACATGTGGAGGTCAGAAACAGCTTGCAGAAGCAAGTTTTTTCCTTCCACTACGTGGATCCTGGGGATGGAACTCAGGTTTTCAGACTCGGTGACAAGTATCTCTGGCAGTACAGCCATCTCATTAACCTCAGGCCCTAGTTTTGATCCCCAGCATCGCGTTAAACTAGACGAGGGAGCACAAACCTGTAATCGTAGCACTCAGGAGGTAGAGGCAGGAGGATCTGACGTTCAAGCGCATCCTCAGCTACACAGTGAGTTAGAAAGCAGCCTGGACTACTACATGAGACTCTGTCCTAACAGTACATAAACTTTAAATGTTCTTTGTTTGGAACAAGGTCTCATGTAGCCCAATCTGGACTTGAACTCGTATGTGACCAACAATGGCCTGAACTTCTGATCTTCCAGAGTACTGTCATCACAGGCGTCACCATGCTGGGTACTATGAAGTTCCCTGGGTAGAACCGTAAGTTTCACATGTGCTACGTAAGCACTCTACCAACTGAGTGGCACCCTGTCTTTAAAGTCGCTGGTCTTGCTCTTGTTGTTGTTGTTACTGTTTTTAAGCTCCGTACTAAGCCTTGAACTTAGGTCTTATGTAGGCTGGGTAAGTGCACTACCACTAAGCTGTGTTAGCCAGCCCCTTCCCCACACCCATTTTGTTTTGCTTTGTTTAGTGTTTTGAGATTCTGTAGCCTAGGTTGGCCTAGAACTCACCGTATCACCCAGGTTGGCCTAGAAC